GCTGAACTAGCCAGAAGGGACCAGCAAGCAGCAAGTTGGCTCTATTTTCTATTATTTTTAATTGAGCCGCTCCACTGCTTATTGACTCATACAAGTTTGCCAGTATTAATTCGGCCAAACAGATGTTTTGGCCGTGATGAATCTGAGTAGCGAGGGTGATCATTTTCGTCGTCACCTGTAGGGATTTCGTGCAGAACACGAAGCGCGACAGCCAAAGGGCCAGAAACGCGATGTGCTCCACATCAGTCACCACATCCGTCGATTTGTCATGGTAATGGTTGGTGTAGGTGGTATAAGCGGGTTTGGTAGCAGAAAACCCAATCTGGTCTTCAGACATTTCCTCTGGGTCGAAGTAGTCCCCAGTTGGTCGAAGACCAGTAATAGCGGCCACGTCGAAGAAAGTGGGCGTTACCATTCCACAAGGCAAGTGGAAGGTATAGTGAGTATAGTCCCAAAACAGCAAAGAAGCTACCAGCATTTCAGGACAGTAGTTAAGACCAGTTTTGGACAGCATGACTAGGTCATAAATCCCCATGCCTTTCCAAATCGAAGCCTGGCACTTCTCCATCTTGTTGAGCCAAGCGTTGTATTCTGGTGTAAGGTTAGGGCTAGACCTAAAAGCCCTAACCCCCCTGTTAAAGAACCTAAGATCTATTTTCTCTTTTGCAGGATCTTCGGTATCATCTGTCGCCTTCTTTGAGCACCCAATGGGTTTGAGTGCCTCATGCACGGGGAAGAAACCCTCGATTTTCGTTGGGTCAGCAATGCATGTTGAAAGAGGACCTGGCATGGAAAAAACCTGGTTGGAATACCCAACAGGAATCAGCAGTTGAGAACCATAAGTTTCACGCTCAGCGTCTCCCATGGGTTCAGGAACCCTTCACATCCCCATGGAGTTAACTATCGGAGCGGTTGAGAAGATCTCCAATTGAGTAGTTTGAGAGGGAGTGCTAAATCTGGGGACATTGGAAGCACGAGTACGTGAAGCCATTTTTTTGGTTTGAGATGAAGATGGATGAAGATGAAGAACAAAGATTACTGGGTTTGGAGAGGAAGAAGCAAAGGTTTACTTGCAGAAAATTTTGTTCGACTGAAGATTTGGATGCAAGAAAGCGTAAAGAGTCCAACAGAGGCACTCAGTGCTATTTATAGTGATTGAAAAATCACAAGGCTCGAGGCCATTTAATGCCACAGACAAGAGTGGGGCACGTGGCACTCATTTGGTACTGTAACCGTTCTGAAGAACGGAAACGATGCAGCGTGCGTCCTCGATTTCGGGAAATAGTCATGATGACGGCTTATGAAAGGTAAATGTGCGTGCAAAACGCCTTATTGAAGTGACGTCTTGGGAAAAGGTGAAATGATGACTTTTTGAGATTGTCAGTTGGTTGGTAGGAGACGAAAAGCACACAAACTAATTTGTGGCTGAGAATGAAGGACAGGTGTCGAATGGAATCTCAAAGAATGCCTTTTTCTTTTCAGTGTCGAAATAAGAAATTCTTGGGGGGAAATTTGTTGGCTCCTAAATTCGACACCCATGTTTATTATCATATAGACCATTAATTATGAGTCAGAAGAGTTTCCTACATAAGAAGGCTTCGACCAACTGATCATGTCGAAGGCTCATCAAAGAATGATAAGATACTTAGAGAAATTTCTTTAAGTTGGAATCTTATTTTCTTCGACGTCGAAGGAACCTCTCGACAAAGGTCCCTGATGCCCAAGGTCAAACGGTTTGAGATTTGAATTGTTGGAGGGAAAACGGTTCCCAGCAGTTACCAAGTGCAACGTGTCGAGAACATAGGCGTCGAAGGTTGTGAGCATGCCATGTGGCGTCATCTCGAAGCGGTGTAACTGCCCAGCGGTTACTTAGGATTTTTCTTAGTATAAATACTAAGTTTTTATGTAGTTATTGGTGTGTTCATCATTTTATACAAGTCACTCATTTAGATTCAAGTACCCAGCGCGAGAGAAAGAATCATTGAGAATGTATGTGTGAAACACCATTTAAATTAATCAAAGTCTTTTATATTCAAGCAATTTACCGTTGTTCATTTATTTACTTCCGTCGAAGCCTTTTATTTAACAATTCCTTAGCGCTTTTATTTATTCTATCAAGCTTTTCTCCATGCAATTTACTTAAAATTTATTTACTTTACTGGCATTAATCACCATTAGGATTAGTCAAACTACAAAAATCAACCATGTCTTAGGATCAATCTGATCGATCCTGCGAGTCACTAAATAAGTAACCTTTTGGAAGATCAGCGGTTGTTTACCATTTTTCACGGTAAACACCTGGTCTGTGTTTGATCTTCGACAGACAAGCATCTATTGAGAGTGCATACAATAATCCTGCAAATGGTTGACATGTCCCTCCTTCTACGCATGTCTACTGCATTAGACATATCATACAAAATTTCACGTGGGAGATCAAAGACAAGGTTCTTAGGAAAACAGTTATGAATGCGGGATATGCATTAACATAACCTTCGTTCAAACACTATCGCAGCGAGATCAGATTATCAAATCCGGATGCAGGTAGGTGGATTGATAATATTCCAGTGGAGAAATGGACAAGGTCATACGACAATGGACAGCGATGGGGCCACATGACAACAAATCTTATCGAATCAATGAACGGTGTATTCAAAGGCATATGAAACCTCCCAGTAACTGCTTTGGTGAAATCAACATATTTTAGGATGGCTTCGTTGTTTGCCAAAAGAGGTGAAATATGGAATGCGGTCTTACAATCGGGACAACTATGGAGTGAAAGCTGCATGAAGTATATTAAGACAGAAAGCGCCAAAGCCAACACCCATCTTGTTATAAGGTTCGATTGACATAACCATAATTTCATTGTCAAAGAGACAATCGACCACAACGAGGGGCTGCCAAGACAAGAGTATAGGGTTATACTACCATCTCGTTGGTGCGATTTTGAAAAATTTTCAAGTCTTTCGTATGCCTTCCTCTAATGTCACTGCGGCATGTGTGTATACTCAGCAAGATGAATTACTACTTCTATCTCCCATTTACAAGTCCGAAACCTTGCTCAACGTATACAACAATGGCTTCCCAATGGTAGCGAAACCTGATTATTGGTCTGCATACGACGGGGAAATTGTATGGCACAATGATTAAATGCAAAAGAATAAAAAGGATCGTCCCAAAAGCAAGAGTATCACAACTGAAATGAACTCCCTTGACAAGCTAGAAAGAAAATATGGTTTATGTCGTCAGGTCGGACACAATCGAAAAAATTGTCCAACTCGGACTACAAGCTCGACAATATAAAAATTGTATGGAAACCATCTGCACTTTTTTAAGTTCTAAACATATTTTTTTTTCATTAAGAGCATTTGTTACAACAAAACATATGCAAACAACAAATAAAAATACGATAAAACGTCTAAGAAATTACAATCGTCAAAACAATTTCATCTGAGCCATGCATCATCACCATTACGTCTCTGTCTGTTTTGACTTACTCCAACTAAGATTGAGTTCTTCCAGTTGCAAGCGACGTGGCTGTTTTTTCTTCTGTGTATCTTTCTAATTTGTTCCCCAGCCTCAATGCCCCCCTCTAGCCATCACATCAACTCTCTCTTCAGACGCTCCATGGAGTGAATGTGCCAAAATTTCATTTTCATCGGAGGTTTGATGACCGAGAAAATAACGTATCCATCTCTGGTAAAAATCATGGGAGATGCCATGACGCAAATAACAGAAAGAAAGAAAAAAAAGACAGTGTAAGAAAGTGTGAAGAATGATGGAGAAATGGGTGTTTTATTTATAGAAAACACAATTGCATATAGTAGCCATCTCAGATGGCGCCTCCTCTCCTTTTTATAGTGCATGTGTCATTTCACTTGGCTAAAACAAAGTGCATGCACCAAGTGAGATGGCACCTAGGACAAAAAGGTGAGTGCATGCGTCATCTCACTTGACGCCTCCATTGTGGAATTTTTTAAAACATGGTTATTTGTGTAATTTTCTTCAAAACATGGTTATTTGTGTTTTTTTTTTCAATACTTGGTTATTGCTAAAAAAAATTCGAAATATTTTACTCACTTGAGAATATAAATTATCAATTAAAACTGTTAGATTAAAAAAAATATGAGACTAAGATTTAGAGCAAATCTTTAAACCTACTCTTAAAGACAATATAATTTATCTTATATATAATCGAATTGATTTATGAACCTAACGAGTCAAACTATATATAGTTCAAGTTCAGCTCATTTAGTTAACGAACTTAATTTTTAACTCATTTGATTCATGAACTTAATTCAATAATTTAATTTTCAAATCGAATTATGAATTATTTTCAAATTGTTTTAGTTCATTGTCAACCCTATTTAATATAAATCACATATCCTCTTCGTGTAACTATAGATATTAATCCCTTAAATTAGAAGGATTACAATAGATATTAAAACTTTCTCGCAAAAGATTGAATCAAACTAAAAACTTCTGATTAAACTAAAAATTCTTACTATATCATCCAAATGTTTATGATAAAAAAAATTTTTTTACAACTTATTCCTTCTTTGTTCAATTAAACTTATTTAGAAGATTAATTTGCTAGATGTTTTACACAAAGAAACTTATTTAGAATATTGATATCTGGAAATAACATTCACAATTAAAATTTTCTTTTGTGAAGGTTCTGGGTTATGGATGCATTTTATTTGGGTCAATCTTTAAATAATAATGAAAACATAAATTTAGAATTTCTTACTACCAATTTAGATGAAGCACATTGAGATAAACATGCAAACAACAATGTAGAAAGCTCAATGCATTAACCACGGATTAAAAAAAAAAACACTGAATTTTATAAGAAAATTCAAACTTTAACTCCCTCAATACTATGTAAATGGATTGTGTCTTCTAGATGACCTGGGCCTATTATAAAGTCCTACAGCATCACATCAGTAAGACAGTGCCATATTTACCTAAGGCAAAGTTTTGGTGTAATGTAAACAAGTTCATCATTTATCTCTACAATCAATCATTTGAAAATGTTTCAAAGTCATTATGGAATTCACCAAATCACCTGAAAAATTAACAGGATTAGCACTTATCAAGAAACTAGTTGTGACAGAGTTTTTGGTGGAGTGTGGCTTTACCAACTACCAACTGGCACCCTCTGCATTTGACTGATAGAAATCATTTGGTCGAACGATGTTGACCTCCTCAAACTCATTATCATCTGGAAGAAAAAGGTAAATATATTTTCATTATTTATTTCAGCTAAAAATGTCACGGACCGTTATGTCGCAATCCATAATATTAAACAAAGTTACAATTGTTGCATAAGGATAGGCTGTACAGCATCCTTGAAGAAAATGGAATACAGCCTAAAGGCTAAAAATGTTTAAGAAAAAAGATAAGCATGCTCAGATTGATATGAAAATGAATGAGGCATTTTTTTGTTCGGGTGAACAGTGGTAAAAATGTTTAGAAAAAATATAAACATGCTCATATGATATGAAAATGAACAAGGAGGCATTTTTTGTTTGTTCAGGTGAACAGTCATAGGGGCTTCTAGTTTAAATGATATTACTTGAAGCTGTGCAAATATAGTACTAAATCTTTCTGAAACAATCCCAAATGATTGCAACACAGGAATGAAATTATTTAAAAATTAGTCCAACATAAAACCAGGATGACCTGAATAGTATATCTCTATTGTCAAAATTGCAGGATTTTTCAAAGAACATTGGGAATAGGAAATCTTCACACAATCAATGTAGGAAGAAGAGAAACCGGATAGGTAGGAAAGAAGATGATTGTGGTCGTATTAGGTTAATGATATGCATTTTACCTTTCCTCATGGTCAATGCAACAACAGCATCAGTTTCAATCTGAAAGGTTAAAAAATAGAAATTGTTAGCATCTAGTAGGTCATAGTTGTGTGAGAGGCAAGCAAAATTATTTAAGGATAGTTAGAATGTTTGCACTATAAAAAGAATATTCACAGTCCAAGACATGAAGAATTTTATAGCAGTGTACCTTTTGATCAGCCAGAGTCTTAGAGTCCTCTAATATTTCCCCGGTATCAGGAAGACTTAATCGTTGATCATTAGCTGGTTGATCGATGAGTTCTTGTAACTTCTGCTTTATGTCAAGAACTTTATCAGATGGCTTGCACCGGATGAAGTACGTTGTCTTGCCACGCTTAACTCGAATGTACATGTCCTGTCAGGAAATGATAGTTAAGATTAAAGCTCATCCCAAATTTCACAGAATGCAGAACAGATACATAAAACAAATTAGAGCTGCAAGTAAGGTTTTCAACAGAAAACAAGGTTACAAACCCCAACGGGTAAAATTAGCATTTACATAGCATAAAACATTGACCACAGCCTCTTAAAAAAAATAAAACATTGACCATAGTTCAAAGAGTATGTTGTATCGTTAAACATGGTAATCACAGCAGCAGATGCCTCTAGAAATTAATAATTTTAAAAGAGAACAGGCACTAACATTTTTTAGATACAAAGCAAGTCTCTAGAAATTAATAAATTTAATCTGTATTTGTTGAACTTACAGGATCTTATGCTTAGATAAAAAGGAAGGGAAAGAATTAAGACTTCGAATTATCATTATTTTGATATGATTAATGATTAATGATTATCATTTGATAACACAAAAAGGACTAGACACTAAATCTTGTTAATGCCAATACCAAGACAATATAATTTTAAAGGGAAATGAATCATTATAATGGCTCGGTAGATTAATTGGACTTCAAGTCTAGGGTTTAGGATGGCAGATCAGTGAAAGGGCTTTCAATGGAGGTGGTTTCACCAAAGAACCCCACTGGAAATGTTTTTGGTGGTGGCAAATAACAAATAGAGAGATTCTAAACACGAAAATAGTGGCAAACAGTGTCAAATATCTTTTCACATTAGGTAAGGTAGGTAGCATGGATCAAATCAAACAATGCTATAATGCCCTAAAACAAATGATGACTAATAACAACACATTTAAATCTAAAACCTTTTTTATAGTTAAACTCATAAATTTCCTTGGTCTCTAATGAGATCCACAAAAACAAAGGGCAGAAGGAAACAACACTTGGACGGGAAAAGACCAATAGTTTAGAATGGGTATGAGAGGAAGGAAAAGAAAGAAATGAGAAACAATAGGTTGTCAAGTTATATACTGTCAAGAGAGAAAGAATAAGTCAGAGCAGCAGTATTGCTTTCCTTTTCTGTAGATGGGATTCCTTCTTTACTTAAAGGGAAACAGATAACTTAAGTTAAGAGATGATTAGTTGTGGAAATATGCAATCAACACATACAAATAATTAGATATTGAAGGTAGGAACAATAATAGCAGAGGTTTAGGAGTTTCCTCATCATCTGGATTTCTTGAACTCTATATATGAGCAATCGCTCTAAACAATAATTTTTTTGGAAACTACAGTCTTCTGACATGGAATCAAAGCCCTGCATCTGTGGGAAATTGTGTCCATATAATACAATCACCTAAATCACCAATTTTTCCCACTGCTTCCTGGGCCTTCTTTGCCACACTGCCACCTTTTATCCTCCCCGTTCACTTGCATTGTTGATTCGTCACTTTCCGTTAACAAAACCAAAGCACTTGAACCTCTATATGTCTGAAAATAACACCGTAGGAACCATGTCCATATCTTAACATATTGGAGCTGTTGAATTGCTCTCTTTTGTCAAGCTTGTATCTGAGTGAAAAGAATCACCTCAAGTGGCAGTGACATCAATACGCCCAAACCATACAAAAAAGAAAGGGATATTAAACCATCTCGTTGGAAAAGATCCAAATTTCAAGGATTCAAACTTTACCACCAGGGATGAAGATGATGTAGAAATGCCATGGCTATGGGAGTTTAATGGAGCCTGAGATAGGCAACTAGTGCATGTTTCTGAAAACAGCTAAAAGAATCTAGGACTGTTGCAAAAAAGGGTTTTAAGTGGGAGATTCTACCCAAACTTGAGAAACTAAGATGAAGATTTTGGTTCCCTAACAAGGGGATCATTCTTTGCAGAATTTGTAAAAATCTGCAAAATCAGTGGGAAGTTTTATGCCATTACGGAAACTTGATGACTTAATGGTCCAAATGTAATGAAAATGCTGTTATACCAAGGAGACTGTGATGAGAATTGGATTTACAAGTTCCTAACATTGACTTGATAATAAATTTAACCCACTAAGAATTCAACCGTTGGGCATAGAAACATTGAAGTCTGTCAGATAGGAGGTCACTAACTATATAAAGAAGTGGGGAAATTAGAGATTGTTCAGACAATAAGTCAGTCCTGGGCAGTGTTGTCAATGGCGGATGGCAGTCCATGGGAGATGGCCAAAATTCCGCCATACCAGTTGCTTTGCGGTGCCGTTATAGTAGATTATTGAGGAAAAACCCGCAATATCGACCGATATTTACCATTGAAGCGAGTCCAAAAACCGCCATGTATATCCACCATAACACCGCTATTTGATAACACTAACATTGGTCCTGGAAGAGCCTTGGTCACTTAAATGAGCCCTAAGGATTGTATACTCCCTTTATTTCTCAATATCATACTGATCCAGAAGGTTTTTGCAGTATTACTAATGTTCTTCAATCTTTCTCCAACTAGACTATTTCCAGTGCATTCAAAATGCACTTAGCCCAACTTTTGGATATATTCATTATACAAATCTAAAACTGAGTTAAGAAGACCGGGACTCAAACCAACCACGAAACCAGTGTTGTCAATCCCAAATCGCATAAAATAGCGATTTGTTAAAATTTCACTACACTATTTGACAACAGCATATGAAACATCTCCATAAATCACCTAAACCCACAATTTCCTAACTTATGGATTTTCTCTATCTGATTTAACATGACTACTATATAGTATAAACATAAATATAAATGCACATTATTCATCTCAAGCACTAAAAACTATGTGGCACCAACACCTCTTAAAAAATGTGTATACGTGTCTGCGTCGTGTTTGACACCAACATTATCGTTAATTTTTCTTTTTTTTCTTCAAATTATTACCGATATCGACGTGTTAGTATCAGTGTCGTGTTCCGGTGTCCATACTTCTTAGACTAAAACACAGTAACCAAATTATAACTTTCAGTTTGAAACAACATTTCACAAACCCTAGTATTCACCGACACAACGTAATCTTAAACCTATGAACAATCACACACTCCATAATCATAAACAGTTTTCAATTACAATTCACTCAATCCCAAGCCATTCAATTCAATTCAAACAAACACAAATCGATTATGAGATAACATCGAATGAAAGAACCATCACAGAAAAGAGCGATACACATACCATGTGCTATGGTTCAGGCGTAGCTACTTGAAAACGAAATTGAAAGTTCTGCAATCGAAAATTGATGAATTTTGGTTTAAGCAATTTGAGAGGAGAGGAATGAAATCGGTGAAAACGAAATTTGAATTCGAAAATAAGGTTGAGAGAGAGAGATATAGGATTGTTGTTCTTACCCGCCGGGAAAGGGTGAAAATTTTCGTGACTGATTTTGATCGCTTGTTTTTGTCTCTACATTTTTGGTTCTTATTTTCAATTTTATATTGTACAAAATTTATTTTAATTTTATAAGGTTTTCTATTCACATTCATGTTCGGTCTCTTATTTTAAATTTAAACAGTTAATATAAGTTAAAAAATTAAAAGAAAAATTATCAATTTTTTATAAAAAATTTGAGAGGAGGATTAAAACCGTTTGAATTTAAAATAGGGGACAAAAATGTTCGAATTTAAAATATAGAGATTAATTTCGTGAATCATACAAAATAGATGGACAAAAACTGTAATTTAACTTAATTTTAATTTTTTTTTTTTTAATATTTTTTTTTTTTAGGAATTTAGTGAATGAAATTCACCTTTTAAAGATGAACTAGTAAGAAATATGTGCCCGTAATTTTCGAACAAAGTCAATTAAATATTAAATAAAAATAATATAATTATATTTAAGAAATATATATTATAAGAAAAAAAATAGTGTATATCAATTTTAATCTCTTAATAGACTCGTGTGTTCGCATGAATCGCGCAATATCATTAAGAAATGTATATAAAATATATTCAAATTAAGTAGTCTCCGCTCGTCAGAAATGTATATTTTAGTAGAAAAATAAACTAAATAATTAAATAGTCATATACCCGTATATTCGTATAGGTCACACAATATCGTTATAAATAGTAGAGAAAATACTCTTTTTCGTCCCTTAACTTTGCCTCGGAGTCTATTGTGGTCCATTATCTTTTAAAAAAATGCAAAACAATCTCTTAAATCTTAAAAATAGAGCACGTAGGTCATTTCCATCCATTTACTGCAAACATACGTTTGTGTCTGCATACGTGGCATATCACATGACTTGTCTCTTTTCTTTCCCCTTGTATATTTCACCAAATCGTCTTCTTTCATCGTATCTAGGGTTAAGATTTTTTCCTAAAAATTGAAGAATAAGATTCATCATCAATGGCATCAGGTTATGCCTCGTCCCCCATGAACCAAAAAAGCCAAGAAAGTATGAACTCCAGTGTGTTCACGGGCTCCAATCTCACATGGAAACCAACTTGTCATTGTGGAGACAATGCTATTCTTCGCAGGTCTTCAATGGCAATGAGCTATGGGAAACATTTTTGGGGTTGTACTCATTTTAAGGTATGTTTGTGAAATGTACAAGTTTTTTATCTCCATTGTTAGTGTTTGAGTAATACATCGTAAATTGCAGGGAACAAGGCAACCTGGGTGTAGTTTTTTTTAATGGTTTTATGAGAAAGCTCAAGATGACAAAGGGAAAATTATAATGTATAGACTGGAAAAGTTATCAAAGAAATTGGATGATGCAACAATGGAGATTGAAAAAGTTAAGTTGACAAATGAATTATTAAGGAAGGAGATGAACAAGATTCTGAAGTTGGAAAATTGTTGTATTATGTTTGTTATTTTAGGTGCAGCAATTCTGGTTTGGTTCATGATGAATTATAATGTTTAAGTTGTTGTATAATGATTTAGATCTAGTTTTTTGTTGTAATGAAATGTTGTATTGTTCTATGTTAAGTTGTAATAAAATATTGTATTGTTCCAAAATCACTATTATAAGTTTAATTGCTCAATTATATTAGTTTAATTTTATCAGTTCAGTTGCTCATTGCAGCATTGCTCTGTTGTTCAATCATGCATTAACACATAAACTTGTAATAAACAGAATTTCAACATAACACGTAATTGCAATTAACATAAACTTATTCAAAATGATATTCATATCCATTACTCAAAATGTCAACAATTCAAGATCACATACATAAGCATAACACAAAATAGTAGTAGATGGTTCCAAATATCAGTTAAGACCATTACACAAAATGACAGAAATTTGAAATGACATCCTAAATAGATCTAAGTTTTTTTCTTGGGAGTTGTCCTCCTTGTAGTTGGGCCAGTCACATTCTTGGTAGCAGTTAGTCTTGTAGTTGGTCTAGGAGGAACAAAAGATGTTGATGGCCTCCTAACACCTAACTTAGTTGGCCTTCTTAGTGTTGATGTTGCATGACTTCCTTGTTTTTCAGTAGCAGTTGACTTCTTGGAACCCTGAGTAGCTAGAGTTAGTTGGCTAAGGTTGACAGCATGTTGAGACTCTTGAGTAGCTGGAGTTGGTTGGCTAAGGTTGACAGCATGTTGAGACCCTTGAGTAGTTGGAGTTGGTTGGCTAAGGTTGACATCATGTTGAGTATCTTGTGCACTCTGTTGAGTACCCTATGCACTTTGTTGAGTACCTTGAGTAGCTAGAGTCACCTTACATGTTAATTTATTGTGCCCTGTATAGAACACCTGACTGCAAAACATGTTCTCTTCATTTTTTATCAGACCTATCTAGCTCTCCTTGCTCGAGATTTCTTCTTTTCTTTGGCCTTCCATGCATCCTTCTATACTTAGGAGGCAGGACATCTGGATATTCAGTTCTGGTCTAGAGATTGGATCCATTCACATGATAAATGACAAATGAATATACCTTCATATACATTGACTTCCTATAATAAACAGAGATGTGGTCCTCAATGTTGAAGTTCCTACTTTTAATGTTAGCTAGTGCATAAACACGGGGCAATCCAGTTAAGTCCCACTTTCTACAAGAGCACACACCTTCTTTCAAATTCACAGCAAATATATCTGCATGATTTTCCACATGATGTACCTCAAATATGTGTTCAACAGACATCCTACATAATAACAATAGCATTAGAGACATAATTCAAAGCATATGACATATCTATTTAATACAAATTGTAAGACATATCTAGCTTTAAACCTTGCTCTAATTGCCTTAGTTTTGCTCACACCTACATTTCGTTTCTTTTGTGCCTTTGCCTTTATGTATTTAATTTTCATCTTATGATTGGTACACACACACACACACACACACACACACACACACACACACACACACACACACACACACACACACACACACACACACACACACACACACACACACACACACACACACACACACACACACACACACACACACACACACACACACACACACACACACACACACACACACACACACACACACACACACACACACACACACACACACACACACACACACACACACACACACACACACACACACACACACACACACACACACACACACACACACACACACACACACACACACACACACACACACACACACACACACACACACACACACACACACACACACACACACACACACACACACACACACACACACACACACACACACACACACACACACACACACACACACACACACACACACACACACACACACACACACACACACACACACACACACACACACACACACACACACACACACACACACACACACACACACACACACACACACACACACACACACACACACACACACACACACACACACACACACACACACACACACACACACACACACACACACACACACACACACACACACACACACACACACACACACACACACACACACACACACACACACACACACACACACACACACACACACACACACACACACACACACACACACACACACACACACACACACACACACACACACACACACACACACACACACACACACACACACACACACACACACACACACACACACACACACACACACACACACACACACACACACACACACACACACACACACACACACACACACACACACACACACACACACACACACACACACACACACACACACACACACACACACACACACACACACACACACACACACACACACACACACACACACACACACACACACACACACACACACACACACACACACACACACACACACACACACACACACACACACACACACACACACACACACACACACACACACACACACACACACACACACACACACACACACACACACACACACACACACACACACACACACACACACACACACACACACACACACACACACACACACACACACACACACACACACACACACACACACACACACACACACACACACACACACACACACACACACACACACACACACACACACACACACACACACACACACACACACACACACACACACACACACACACACACACACACACACACACACACACACACACACACACACACACACACACACACACACACACACACACACACACACACACACACACACACACACACACACACACACACACACACACACACACACACACACACACACACACACACACACACACACACACACACACACACACACACTTTTTTAGTATAAATACTAATATTTTATCATAAAAAATACTAACTTTTTGATTGAATCAATTTTTATAGAAATAAATTGATCTGTATATTTTATCATAAAAATACTAACACTTTTTTCAAATCAATTTTAGTTTTTCTTGTATCATGTCATAATATCATATATTATTTTCCATCAAATATATGATATTTTTATTAAAAAAATTATGCAAGAAATCATACTTAATTGATTGAATCAATTTTTATCGAAATAAATTGATCTGGTCAAATATTTTGATGTTTTAAATAAATAAAAAATTGAAAAACTAAAATAAAATTGAATTAATTAATTTGATGTTCTATTAATAAGTACTTATATGAATTAAATGATTTAAAATAATATAACTTTTTAACAAAACCGTGTAAAAACCCGTCTTTCAATTTATTCATTAGTATTGAATTATTATAAACTAAAACAAAGAATTTCATATAAGAAATTTTTTTATATACTTAAA